TTTTTGACTTGGGGAATTATCTTAAAAAAAAAAACAGACTTTAGCGTTCTGTCAACTTTAAAAACCAAAGTTAGTGAATAAATTACATTTAAAATTTAAATTTGCCGCCTATTACGAATATTTTTGGAAAGGAAAGCCATCAATTTTATGGCGTTTCCGATTGGTAGATCTAGTGCGGAACTAGTGCAATTTTTTATATTTCTGTCTTTTTCTTCTACAGGTCGATTAAAAGGATGCAAATACACTCAGTGCGCACTGAATCTACCAATCGGAAACGCCAGTAGCTTGTGTTGGGCAGAATAGAAATAATAAAATATCTACCTAATTTACTTTACCAAATTTTGGTTACCTAAGTTAAGTTTGTTCGATTGAGGCCGAACCAGCGCAAAAAGAAATGTATCCTTATCCTTACATGTTACATGCTTTTAGAACAAGGTGCGGATATACTCAGTGCGCACTGACTGACAAATGGAAATCGCTATTAGTTGACAGCTCGGTGGAAATTTTTGGTTTTCTTGTTTTGGCAACTATGTTCGCGCACCGCAATATGGCGTCGAAACAAAAGGTCAATTAACATCTGTTTTTTATTTAAAGATAAACGTCAAAATGACATTATGTTGGCAATACAATGTAAAATTGTCAATGCTTTCAAATTTTTTATGTAGAAAAGGCTTGTGTTGCCAACATAGTTACTAAATTTTTGACTTGGGGAATTATCTTTAAAAAAAAAAACAGACTTTACAAGGTTAAGCACCTAATTAAATTGGACCCAAAATGACAAAAATTTCGAACAGATTGCATCATCCTCTAAATGAAGAAGTTTTATTTTTGGAGTAATATCTAGATCGACCAATAGAATTGAATTATAGATGATCAAACGACCGCCTATATTGTCGATTTTGGTGGCTAATTAATAATATTTTGGGGAGAATCGAAAAATATAAAAACAGGGATTTCAGAAGAATCAATCAGTTGTTAGTTGAGTTTTAAGTTCAGTCCAGTTTGAGTTAGTTCTACAGTACCTAATGAGTCAGTCTGCTTAAAATTCGCGAAGAGTTTCTTTTATTTTGTTCCCTCGAGAAAATTGTAACGGAAAATTGTGAAAGAAAGAACATTTAGTCATTCAACATTATGTGCGAGCTCTAGAGATTTTTGAGGTAAATTAATTAAGTAATTTTACGAGTGAAAAAGTAAATGTAAGTGCTCTAGTCACTAGTAAAACTTTTTGACTTTATAAATGATGAATGATAAGAAGTGAACTGACATTGAACTTTAATGCATAAAAACTTGAGTGATTTGACTGTTAGAACTTTATTGCATAACTTTAATTGCCTTCGAGTATAATGACATTTTAATTAATTTTGCAAAAAATTAACAAAGGAAAATTAGAATGCTCTTAACAATATTCGAGTTTGAGTAGGAATTATTAAAGAATGTTGAATAGGATTGTCCAATTGAAGTTTAAGGGCTATAGTAATTAACTAATAAGAATTTAAATAATTGTGTATGTTGGCTAGGAATTCGAAAATAGTATTGTTCTGTTTAAATTGATCTTTAGTAAAAGATTTGAACCATTAAAAAGTAATGGGAATTTGTGAAAAGAAACTTGTTGTTCATGAAGTAACTTGTTGACCTTAAGTGCTGAAATTTTGATTTAGGGTTTTAACCATTTAGAAATTATTGTAAGGTTTTTATAAAAATATAGTCGGTAATACAATGCCTAATCCAGTCAGTAGGATTATGATTGTTTTGCGTAAGCTGTCAGTAAATGACTTAGGAGTTTTAAGAATTTATAGATATAGGTGAAGGGGTAGTTTTAATAGGACTGTGAATCGGAAGTGTTGTTTGAAAGAGTAATGTATAAACTTATAAGTTATTAAGAATAGAAAAAGTAGGGCGTTTTTAGTATGGATATTTCCTGGTCCGCAGTAATGAAATTTGAACGGATGTGAAATAATTTGAATTGGGAAAAATAGAAGTGGCTGTCAGACATAGAAAGATATTTGCTTATTACAATTTTGGTTTTAAGGATAATAAAATATAATTTAGTAAACCTCAATAGTTTGTTTCTCTCTTTTGCGAATAAATCCCCTCCACAATTTTATAGGTAGCCGCTCAAGGAAATAAACACCATCAATATACCGCTCGCCATTCACTATCTAACTAATTAAGTAGAGTACTTGGGCGCGTTTTGCTACACTAGGTACCAATTTCTATAGAATTCTATTTGGAAAACGTGAGTAATACAAGAATAGTGACTTCATTATCTACTGGTTTCAACATCCAAAAACAAGCTCAAAAGCGGATTTTCTGGAAGCTTTTAAATTTTTTTATAGAATTCTATTAGGAAACTGAGAGTGACACAGGAATAGTGACTTCATTACCGAAAACTTCACAAAGTGATTTTTCTAGAACATTCCATTGTGCTCTATTTGAAAATTTAACTTCGCCACAGAAGTTTCGATGTAAAAACAAGTTTCTAGAATACCTTATGGTAAATAATGACAGTAATCAGCCGAAATGGAGCAGGTTAATCAAATATTGAAAAGGAAAATTAGAGCGCGTCAAAATAACCTTGTTAACCCAGAGTACCTTATGCAAGCGGCTTTAGAGGAATGGACAAATGTTCCACTAGAAAGAAATAACAACTTGATAGATAGGTAGTATGCCTCGTCGAATTCATGCTTTAGTCGATGTTAAAGGTGGCAAAGTACTGATTATTAAAATTATGCAAATACCAATATTTCTTGTTAAATTGTCATTTTCAGAAAAATTATTTTTATAGAAATATGTACAATTTTTGTTATTTGTTTTCCTTTTTTAGAAAATTGTGATCATTTTTATTGACATTTGTAATAAACTTGGTTTAGAAAAACTGCTCTTTATTCCTCAATGACTTTTTTCAAATTAAATTCTGTTTCTCGAAATTACTGGGTGATTCCATATAAATTTGGTTGTGTGTTTACAGGGTGGAAAATTAAAAAGCATCCACCTGGATTTTCTCGAAAATTATCAGGAAATTAAAAAAAAGCCAAAACACGTCGATTTTGTTTGCGAGGGGGACACTTTTTGGCTATTTCAAAATTTTCCTAGATTGCACCCTCTTACCGGGGCGAATTGCACCCTCAAAATTTGAATAGGGAAATTTCGGTTTTTTCCGAATACCTCTGAAAGTATTCGGAATCTTCCTAGTTTCAAAACGGCATTCTATTGGTCATAAAATTGCGCAACTTTGCCATTATTTAACAGACCCCGTATCTCTTACGGTTAGCGAGATCCCAATGATGAGGCTCGAATTTGCGCCACCCTGTACATACATGGCCCACGATGTCTGTCCTGTCCGTCATATGGTGGTGGCTTAAAACTTTAATACCAGTTGTAGGCGACGCCGAGACATTTCCTGACTTCAAGTCATATTCCAATTTTTTAATCTGCTTCTCAAAACTATCCATTTTTTGGCGAACTTCCTGACGAATAGTTCCAACTTCCTGATGAACACTTGCACCCTCAAAATTTGAATAGGGAAACTGGGTCGAGTGGTACCTTGTTCAAGAGGTATTTGAAATGACTTTACAGATATGTCATTTTTTTCGAAATATGACTCCTAGTTTTCAAGATATTCGCCTCGGAAGTTGCCATGGGACGTAAAGAGAACGTGTTTTTCGTGAAAAAAATTAAAAGTGGGTCATGTTTGAAAGGTTGTTCAAAAGGTTCTAACTAATAAAGAAACAAAGGTTCAAAATAAACAAAATTGACGTGTTTCAGGAATTTCAATTTTTTCTTGTAGAAATGTACGAAAAACACGTTCTCTTTTCGCCCCATGGGAACTTCCGAGGCGAATATCTTGAAAACTAGTAGGCAGATTTCGAAATAAATTACAGATCTATAAAGTCATCTCAAATACCTCTCAAAGAAGGTACCACTCGACCCAGTTTCCCTATTCAAGTTTTGAGGATGCAACTCACCCCGGTATGGGGATGCAATCTAGAAGAATTTTAAAATAGCCAAAAAGTGTCCCCCTTGCAAACAAAATCGACGTGTTTCAGCGTTTTTTTTATTTCCTGATAATTTTCGATAAAATCCAGGTGGATCCTTTTTAATTTTCCACCCTGTATGAAAACTTAACTGCAGTTGTTTCTCTCGTTTGAGAATAGACCCCTTCGTCAATTTTATTTGAAGCTACTCAAGGAAATAAACAGCATTAATCATACCGCTCCCCATTTACCTTCTAACAAATTAAGACAGTACTTTGGCGGACAGCTACACTAGTAACACTTCAATTGACTTTTCAATGTTCCTGGGTAGGTAACAAAGCGATATTGGAAATTTTAAATATGTAATGTACAGCAGTTTGCGAAATGATACTTCACATTAGTGTAAATTTGAAAACTTCAAATTTTCCTATAAATCCCTTTTCGACATTGTTTAATGACCTATACATATGGCCTATATATTATAAAGAAAACTTGTCCAATTTAAAATTCAATATATCTTTTTTCGTATTCTCACATTTATATCGAGTGCAAACAAGTCCTGAAAAACTTTTTTGGTGTGAGCGTGTGTGTGTGTGTGTACTCTACACGTCGGAAACGAAATTCGTTTTTCCTAATTCGGGAAAAGTCAGTTGCACGCGCTCTCCAGGTTTCCAGAAAAACTCTGGAGTGCCCTCTAGAAAAATAAACGCCGGCAACCTTGTCCTTCACGTGCAGGTCCTCTTTTCTTGTGGTCGTCCCCTTTTTGTCGGCTACAGATAAACTGCGTCAAGATGATGTTCTTATATAGAAAAAAAACCGGACAAGAATTATGTGTTTTGTGATGTTTGATTGAAATCGATTTTAATTTAGGAAGTTTTTTTTTTGTTTATTGAATGGAAATTATAAGTCTGGAATTGGATTGGTGAGGAGGAATAAAATTGCATAAATTAGAGAAAAGTATACCTACAAATAATAGGCAACATTCTTATTATTAATTTCACCTATCGGACCATGATGATAACTTACTGTTGCTGCAGGAAGTGGAGGAGGTGGAGTCAAACTGTCTGCATTTCCATTATTAGCAGGCGAAGCAGCATTTCTTAACGGCGGTGATGACTGAGAGGGCGAATGTGGGGTAGTAGCTTGACGAGCACCTTCTGGAGAATCTGGAGTCTTACAACGATCTTTCACAATTCCTGAGAAAAAATAAATACATTTTAGAGATTGAGTAGATTACTTATTTCTTTTTAAAACAATTCAATTTCAAAATGCTCAATATCTACCATGATACGAATCTTCACTTAAAGCTCATAAACAAGATTCACTTAAAAAAGCTTCCCTAGTGGCATTCCACAATCTGACTGTTATCACTGCTCAAAGTGTTTTCCATGATGCGCAACATCCAGATAGTGCACGGAAATGTTGCCAATTTTACCACCATCTATTGGGGAGAAACCACCTGAGCACCCTAGCAGGTAAAAACTGCACCTAAACATCTAGACTGATGACTGTTAAGTTATTCATTATTCCAGATTTTGTCTAGAAGCTCTCTCAGATCACATGGTACACACTGTTGTGAAATTAGATTGGCAAGAAGAAACATCCCCGCATTAAAGATGTTCCAGTTTTCTATTGGGACAATTCAAAATCTACCATTTATCAAAAGTTTGTCCAGGTTTTAATGTTGGAAACGTCACTTTACCAACCAAATTTAGGCAAGTTTTACAATTAGGCTGTTCACTAATAAATTGAGCTGAATTTTAGATTTGCCAATGTTAAGAAAAATGTAAAACGAAACGGATTTCAAGTTTAAATGACGTTTTCTAATTCACAGGGAACAACTTTTGGTAGTGCTTCTCCAAATAACTTCCTTGGTTCTCGGGGAGACTCCCCCGAAAAGGAAAATGTTTGGGTGGGAAATTAGCTCCAGCTATTTTTCAAACTGTAATAGTTACTTGGATTAGAGCAAATTTAAATGTATCAATATCCAGAGATCTTTGAGATCGATTTTTAGATGTTCTAACGTCATTCACGAATTGGGAGGAATTGGTTAAATAATGGGCTGTACCTAAGTATAATAAAAAAATTCATTATTCTTTTCTAAAACCAGAAATTGTAGAAAACCATGGAAACCTTAACAAGAGTTTAAGCGAGATAGGTCTATAACCTACACCTAACAAATTTGCCTCTAGATCCTCTAAATGATTAAAAATGGAAACGTACTGAAAGAATAACATTGCGCCCTGAAACTTATGCATCCTCAATTGCAAACAATACCCAAAACGATGGGTTACATCAAGCAGTTTCCAGACCAGACTTTTCAGTACCTGATGGCAATATTTTTTCATCCAAAATACTTAATTCAAGTTTGTCAAGGCGCTTCAGTGAAACCAGTATCAATGTAAAAGTAAAGGAGCAACTGTTAGAAAGGAATGTGTAAGTTATGATAATTCTAGCTTTTAGCAAATATTTATTTAAATTAAATTCTTTAGGCTAAACATAGAAGGTCGAAATCTTTGGAATTCTTACTACCCCTTGATGTAGAATCTACTAATCGTACTAGATCACCATATCCAGCCCCATCCAGTGGAATTGAAAACAACTCTATTAAAGATTCTCTGTTACAATTGGATGTTTAAGCCGAAATCCATGAACGGTAACAGTATGGTGAACATAAGGGAGTTGCATGGTGGATCAGTTTAGAGGTTGGCTACCAGATGTATTTTTAATACTTTGGAAACGAATGTTAGGCGTTTTAGGCAACGTCAACCAAATTTCTGATCCAAAATTACATGTCCAAGTGTTTGATTATTTGATAAAACTGAGAGATACTCTTATAAAAGAGAAACAAAATCAAGGAGTTTCAATGGTTAATTTGAGTACAACCCTAGTAGCAGAATTAGTACGTCGTATTTTCTAATGAATTTTCCCTTCAATTTGCTGCAGCATGGTTGGTGATGATATGGCGTTTCCTCCACCCACTATTTTGGTTTTACTGGGATCCAGAAAAAAATTGATTTTCATTTTTGGAACAACTGGCGCTGAAGAGTAAAATTGGATAAAGTTCCCCTACATTCCGTCATTGTGAACTAATCTCCAGTTTATACATTCATACATAATTTGTTTTCCAAATTAATAATATTTTTCTCGGTAAAGTAAATTAAAAACTATTCTTATACCTAACAATCAACATTTTATATAGGTAGGTACCTACTCATCTTGAGCTTATCTCTCTGGCCTGCCCTCAAACTTTGCCAACATGGATTATTACAGGCATCCAAACTAAAATTCATGGTCGAATTATTGTCCGCTTTAAAATTTTCAGCTACAAATTAAACAAACACTTTGCCTTGATATTCTTACAGTAGTCCTGCTTCAAGAATAATAACATTTAGCCACAATTTAGCAGTGTAGCACAGTTTAATTATGAAATAAAAGATTTTTTAAGTAAATTTTAATACTTATATAAAATTAAATCTTCTAGAATCTTTAGAAATAAACAAACTTAAAACTTTAGACTGTTTATTGAACGACCAATTAGATTTAAACAATTCACCACTTTTAAATTTATTTACTGTGTAATACCTATTTAAATTAACATAAAATTAGACCAGCTTTTACCTTTTTTATATTTGTCAATTTCACTTTTATGTCTACATTTTATTTTTCTAAAATCTTTCTGATGAAGCTAAAGTTTAGCGAAACATGTTAAAAGTTTAACAAAAAATTGTGGAAATATATAAGTATTAAAATTTACTTAAAAAATCTTTTATTAGATAATGGATTTCCACCAAGTAAAAGCCGATTCAATCAAAATGTTTAATTATGATTATTGACATCTAAAGATTGGGTGTTAAGATACTTGATAAATTCGTCGCCTATATAATATGACATATTTAATCTATACCTATAAGGAAAGATTGAAAGGAAACGACGATTGTGCCGTTTTGGCTTCGGCACCGGCATCTGGCAATGATGGAAATAGTAAATGAAAGCCATATTCCATTAGCATGGTAGAGAGGTGTCAGCTACAGGGTCGCGCCCACGGCGATTGTTTGATCGTCTATAGTCGTGCTGCGTTTTGCGTTTGAGGACCCGTCACTGGCAGATGCCGACGACGTTATAGTTTTGGTATGGTGTTTAATCGCTTTTTGGAAACTACGTGCCCGATATACGCGGACATGAAAATGACACTTTTCGAAAGTTTGATTTCGCCGTCGCGGTTTTCGAATGCCACAAATTTCAATCAATCAGAGACTGTATCTATACAGGTAGGTACACGTGCTGTTTTTTATGGATGATTGAATTTTCTTTAAACCTCCGCGCAGCTCTCTTTCGGAAAATGAGTTTACAGCGTTGTTTATTTATTTATCTATTCAAAATTATAATAGCCATTGCCAACAGCAGACCAATTACAGATGTAGGTACTGATTTAATACTAGTAGAGAAATACAGGTCATGTATACATTAAAACCTTATAAACAATCTTAACAAGTTAAATCAATCACAACAGAGGAAATAAAATTTTAGGATGAGTACAATTTTCTGTCAATTCTAATTTCAAATTCAATTACAAAAATAAGATTTTAACTCGCCACCAGAATAGTTTCGGCACAAATATGCGCTATCTATATACACTCATTGAAAAAGTAGTCAGCAAAACCATCAGCAACTTCTTGATCACCATGATAAATACCCTCGCCCCCAAAGTCATCATATCCAGGTTCCAGGACATCCGGGACACTGGTATGTTGATAATGGAGCAACTATAATCGCATTTGCAATAGACGAGATTAATTCAAAAATTATGAGACTTTTCATGAAGATCATGTTATGATAACAGCGAGTGGAAACAGATTAATAGCATTGGGTACAGGCACTATTAAAATAGAGGCTTTTGTTGATGGAGTCTCTTCCAGGTTAGTTCTAGTTGATGTCTGGTATGTTCCTGAAATACAGAAAAACCTTTTTTCTCTTTTGTCAGCCTAGGACAAAAATGCAGGAAGTGAGTTTGTTTCAAAAATGGAAGAATGTCATCTAAAAATTTAAGGAGCTTTTGTGTTAACTGGTCAACACACAAAACATGGTGGTCTATTCCAGCTTAATTTGAGAAGTATTATTCCATCGAAAAACGAAGTAAATGGAGTCGAAGAATTTACTACAATTGTGGCAATAGCGTTTTGGGCTTCAGAATAAAAGATTTGTTAAAGATATTTGGGAAAGAGAATTGAGAATAAAAGTTTCTTTGGACAATAACATTTGTGAGGGATGCTTATATGCTCATGTCCGAAAATTTCGAGCACGAGAAAGGGCAAGTGAACCAGGAGAGAGCATTCACTTTGTTGTTTGTGGACACATTGAGTCATCCAATACATGACATAGGTTCAGTTCAAAGATGATTTTAGTAGATTTGGATTATGAAGCATAAGTCAAAAGTTGTGATTCATCTGAGAACAGTCTTATTTCAGATAAGAAGAACAACAGGAAATAGAGTAAACGAGATTTTAACAGATAAAGGGAGAGAATACATTGATCGAAATGTGAAAGAACTTTGCAATAAATATGGCATCAATTTGCGACTAATATTGCCATACACACCTCGGCAGCATGGATGTGCTGAACGCAAAAATCGATCCCCATTTTGAGATGGCTCATTCGTTAATGCATGCTAAAGAGGAATTACATTTTTGTGGGCAGAGATGTTCAACAATGCGGCTTATATCTTGAACAGAAGCGGCAAATCTAGTGTTCAAGACAGGTCTCCATATAAGGATTCATCTACTGAAAAAATCAGAGTGAGCTGTAACTTTGCATACACCTTAAAAATGTATTAAAAGTCATCACCGATATCTTGTCTGCGTTCCAAGATATTCAAGGTCAAATGTCACAGGAATGAGTTTTTCATAAATATTTTGCTTTCGGTATGTCCTACGACTATTTTGGCTAGAGGGTAGCACCCGTTCTATCTCGACCTCTGATGCATATAATGTTCAACGAATCACTACAGGTCGGTATATTTCCAGACTTCTGGAAATCAAGTTTTGTGGTACCCATTCACAAATCACGTGACACAGAAAATGTGACTAATTATCGCCCAATAAGTATCCTCGATGTTATTCCAAAAATATTTGAAAGTATAGTCACAAAATTTTTAACATCTTGCCTTGGACCAGAAAGTAAACACCAGCAGTTTGGC